CTCGTAATGTACCTTCCTCCCCTGTTCCCTCCCAAGTTTCTTCCTCTTCTGCCACCTCCCAGGTTCCTGTCTCTTCTGTCCCCTGCCACGCTTCTCCAGTTCCCTCCACCCTTTCGCCCCCCCCTACCTTGGTACAGTCCAATACAGTTCCAATCTTTACTCATCCTCCCCCTACCATTCCCAATATTGTCTCCCATACGACATCTCTGAATTCCGAAACACTTGAAGCAATCTCTGAATAAAATTGCAGAGACCAAACCATCAATGGACACTGATCCCACCTTCCGCTCTTCCTCTCTCCTCTGCTCCATCTGCGCAACTCCTTTCTTCACAGCGCACCGTTCCTTCGCTGCTTGAACATTTTCCACTGCCTCCGCATGTGGACTTTTCTAACCCTTCTAGTCCGTAGGAACCCTTACCTGCGGATTTCAAGTATCTTTATCATTGCCAATCATGGCCTTTTTACAGTGGAATATACGCGGCCTCAGGGTAATCGGGGTGAGCTTCAGATGTTACTCTCCAGTTGCCCCTGTTGGTGTTTGCTTACAGGAACCAAAATTACACTCTGCTGTTATTTCTCACATCTCAGGCTATAATTTATTGTATTCTTCAGATCCTTTTCCTGATGGGAACCTTTAATGAAAGTGCCCTTCTTCTCCGCACTGATATTCCGTACCATCAGCTATTTGTTCATACTTCGCTGCATTACACAGCAGCCCGTATCCACTTACATAGTGGTATACGCTCTGTTCTTTATATCTCTCTCGCTTCTGCGGGGCATTATCGTATCCGATTTTGCCTTCCTTGTTTCGTCATTAACCGCCACCGATTCGTTACTTGGTGATTTTAAATGCCCACACATTTCCTCTGGGAGGTCTCACTGTGATTCCCGTTGGAATTCAGTTAGAGGCTTTTCTGCCACCCAACCGCCCACCATGTTTTTAAATAGAGTACTCACACCCATTGAATCCTCGACTCATACTCTCTCTTGCATCGATCTCTCAGTTTGCTTCTTCCTCCGCCGCATTATACTTTACTTGGTCTGTTCACCGGACTTACAAGACAGTGATCATTTCCTATTCCCAATCATTCTTACTTCCCCTTCATATTCTCCACCTCTTCGCACCCACGCTGGCAATTTTAATCGGGCAAATTGGAACCTTTACTCACACCTGACTGTTTTTTTTAAAAGAAGGTTCCTTCTTCGTCCTCCATCGATGAGCTTTTTACACGCTCATCTCGACCTCCGTTTTCACCGCAGCTTCTCATTCTATAGTCCCAAACTTCAGGTCAGCATTCTCATGAAATGCGTGCCTTGGAGTCTCCTTGCTTGTGCCTCGTGCAGTACGTTTGAAACCCTGCAGGGGCAGGACCGGTTACAATAGAACCACAGAGCGACTCTTGATTTTAAAACAGAAGCTGCGATCGCGCCGTGTCAACCTGTGACGCTAAACGCACTGCTGGCGAGATTATGTTCTCCACCCATCACCTCTGCTTTCCTCTATGAGTGCAGTCTGAAAAAAGTACGAAAACTGAGTGGTAATAATTCTCCTGACCGCGGCACCGTTCTGCGGGTTGCCGGTGTTGATATAGCAAACCCACAAATGATCCAAATGAAAGACGATTTGCAATCATCTGGTGGCCGGGGGATCGGAGAAATGGGGGCTATGTGGTATACTCCATCTATATGCCGCCTCATTTCAGATATCCTCAGTCGGTTTCAGTATCGTTCGCAGTGTGTATGGAGTTGGACAGCGCGCGAAGTGTACGAGAGATGAGACGAGTCTGGCCAGAGAAGAAGAACAGTAAATGTGCCTTTTACACTTCAAGAACTGAGGCAACCACTCTCAGCTTGTCGGATCAATCGGTCAGCTGGGCCCGACGACATTCATATTCATGCTACAACTTTACATCAGTCAGCCCTTGCAGTCCTAGTACACCTTACAATCTTTTTTGGTCACAAGGAGTTCTTCCACAGCTGTGGAAATCCGCCATGTTCTCTCCTTTCCGCAAAACCAGGCACTACGGGGATCATGAACTCCCACTAATCGTCCCATTGCTCTTACCAGTGCAGTTTCAAAGTAATGAACGTCTAGTAAATAGACACTTAGTGTGTAATTAGAGCACACAAGAACAGTCTCTTCCTCTCCACTCTCAATATGGTTTCGTAAGGACGTTCTGCCATAGACCCCTTACTGGCGCAGGATACGTTTATGTTCGTAAGGCCTTTTTCGAATAACCACTCAGTTATTGCCAAATTTTTTGACCTTGAGAAGGCATATGACACAACATGGAGGTATAATATTTTAGCCCAAGCCCACTCCTTAGCCTTCGAGGCAATCTAACCATCTCTTCCTTAAGACTTTTTAACTGACAGGCATTCCCGTGTTCGGGTTAATAATGTGCTCTCCCGGACTTTGTCCAAGCGAAGGTGTCCCCCAGGATGTGTTCTGAGCACAGATAAACACTTTTTTCTCCTGCTTTAATGATTTTGGCCTCTACGTTCCACAATCAAATATTTTGGTCAACACTCTATGTTGATGACCTTTGCAATTGCCCTGTGCAGGCGCTGACTGTCACCTCCTTACAGTTTCTCAACCACATGCAGTCGACCGTGTTTCCAATTGGGCACCAACTTGGGTTTTAAATTTTCCAGCCTAAACCCACCAAATCACTTTCACTAGACTCTTCTTTGTCATCTCTGATCATCCTTTGTGTACCAAGACTATGGCTCACGTATCCCTGAACGTGATACAGTCAAGTTTCTGGCCTCCTCTTTGATCGTAGTTTACCTGGAAACCTCACATTACCTCTCTAAGCAACTTTGTCACAGCCAGGCTGAACCTTCTTAAAATCCCCTTGCTCATCTTCTGGGGAGCTGATCGTCGAACCCTCCTTCACGCTAACATTCCACCCATATTTTAATCGAAATCTGATATGGTGACCAGATCTAATTCAGCGGCATCCTCTGCTACTGCTCTCTAAGCTAACCCATTCCATCACCAAGGATTACGTTTATGCCTTGGGGATTTTCGCTCTTTACCCCTGTCGAAAGCCTCTATGCAGAAGCAACTTCCATCCTTATCCATCGCCGTGATGCCATTGCCTCGCTACTATGTACGGCTCTCATGATCTCCGCAATCCTTTCCATTTATAGAAAGGTCACTGATATTATAGACATTCTTTATTTTGTTCGGCCGGCCCCTGCATACTCCGTCCCTTCTCTCCTTTACGCCTCATTCGCTCTTGTCTTCTCTTCCAACTACCACCTTTTATTACATGTAGCATCCACCTTTTTTTTTTTTTCTTTTTTTTTTTTTATTTTTTTTCCTACCCCTGGGAGGTCCCAGCTGTTTCGAGTCTGTTTCTTTCTCCCTCCCTTGCTCGAAGCCCCAACTGTCTACGGTCGCTTCCCGCTCTCTTTTTCTTGACCACGTTTCACTCTCATTCTCAATGCCATTGCTGTGTACACAGATGGCTCTAAGGTCTTCTGACCGGCGTAGATTCGCAGCAGTGTTTCCGGACAGCGTCGTACAAGGTCTATTTACTACTTCACTAGTATTTTTACTGCTGAATTATATGCCATCCTAACAGCCACTTATCCGTATTGCATCTATTCCTGTGTCATCATTTGTGGTTGTCTCATACTCCCTTAGTGCTTTACAGGCTATACAAAAATTTGATACACCTCACCCCTTAGTCCCTCCGTATCCAACTTTGGCTACGCCGCAACTTTACTAAGCATAAAGATATTGTTTTTTTGTTGGTCCCAGGTCCTTTGACGACAGGGCAATGAACAGGAGACACTGCTGCGGCCGGTCGAGCAGTACATGACCACCAGTTTTTTCTACAGAGGTATTCCATTACGGACTATTTTGCTGTAATATCTTCCCACCCTTCACACCCGTTGGCACAACCGTTGGTCAAAACTATGCTCAGGTCAGACAAACTTCAGATCATTAAACCGAGTATAGGTTACTGGCCGTCTTCCTTATCACCATTGTCGAGGATGGGAGAATACTCTCTCCCGTCTTCGCATTGGCCAAAACTCTCTTACTCATGGATTATCTCATGGAGAGTGCGTCTTGCTCCTGTACTCTGTGAGAATTGCCCAAGCTCCATTATCAGTCAGGCCACATTCTGTTGGACTGCCCACTTTATCAACGAGCACGCAGAATTTAACACTCTGTCGCGTCTTCGCCCCGCTGCTCTCTCTTTTACCTTCCCATCTCGCTGATGGACCCCACCTTTCTCATGCCGACTCTCTTATTGGACTTTTTTGACAACGACTGACTTACTTCACAAATTCTGATACTTTCAGCCCTTTCTACTTGTATCTCTTGCTACCCTCTACCCCCGTACTATCCCCTGCCCCGCTGTTTTCTGTAAGCTGCTGATCATCCCCCCTCCCTCCTGCCATCCAATTCCCTTGCTTCCTTCCCTACCCTGCAGCGCTGTATAGCCCTTGTGGCTTAGCGCTTCTTTTTGATTATAATAATAATATGTATTGTTCCAGTTATAATACTGACTCCTGTTCTTCATAGATTAAAAATATTCTGTGACAAGTGTCCTTTTGTACCACAGTTCCTTTCACACTTGTTAGTATCAAAAGTCAAAATATAAAACTTTAGTTAATTTGAATAACAACTTCTTTTAGCTACATAATCCCATGGATTTAGTGCTCCCCATGATTATAATTATATAATCTTCTTTGGACTGTTTTTGTAAAAATCCAGTAATTTAAAATAGTATGCTATAGAACACTTGCCATACTTGATACTTTTTATGAAACATCTTACAATATATGCATGCTGATTCTGTTGAAAAGAAACAATCTGAAAACAAGGAGGCACAGTTTCAGGTCATTTCAAAGATAGTGCTTTTATACTGGTGAAAGGTTCTTGATCAAAGGAACTACCCTTCCTTGGATCAAGCCTGACAACTTACATTTTCCAGGTGCTGTTCAGTGCTTCCCTATTAATATAATTACAATATTTCAGGAGGTTGTGCCAGTAAGTCTTGTTAAAGTTGAGGTCAAAGATGCTGATGATGACGAACACATCGATGTGGACGACACTGGTACAAACTATGGGTCAGTGTGTACAGATCAAGAAGCAGCACAAAAGTTTACACCATACGATCAACCCAAAGTAGAAGCCAGTGATGACACTCGATGTGGATCATCAGGAACCGAAGGGGTAGGAACTTGAAACTCTCTTTATAATGAAATTATGTTGTCGTGGATAATTCATCGTTGTTCTCTTGGTGACTCCCTGTTCACCAGTGTTCTGAGAAAATTTCTCCAACATAGTTAATTTCATTCAATTATTGATTTTACTGTTGTGTAGAGATAGGTTAATTGTTGATACAGTAACCTGAATTACTACTGATGGACATTGATTTGTCTTTTCATTTGCATAAAAAATGAAAATCAAAGCTGATTTTTATATCCATATATCTGTACCTTGTGAAAAAGTTACTGTAGATGTTGGGAGAATTTGTGTGTATGTCTGAGAGACGGTGTTTAGCACCATTGCAGATTTCTAGTATATACTTGCCAAAACAAGCTTTAGTCAAATGAGAGACAGACTTTTTGGCAAACATCCTGGCTACACAAAAAACATGAGCCATGTGATGATTTCACTATGAGGTCCAAAAAAAGTACAATATTTTAGAGCTGTTCTCGTAGTTGAATTGTACAGCATTGTGTATTCCTCAGACACTCCTGAAATTATTTGTTGTTTGCCTAAATTAAAAGTTGTGCAACAGTTCTTAGAGATATTGTATTTCAAGTACCATTATGTATTACTTTTTGTCACTGCAATGTACCAAGGTTGAAAATAAACTTGCTTTTGGGTGAGGTTTAGAGCAGAAACAAAATACAAGGTAATTACACCTTTTACAATGATCTTTTTGATGTATTATGTTGCAAAGGAAATCCTGATCAACAAACATCGATGACTTCTGGATAAGGCAGTTCCACTATTTAATGCATCCCATTCTGCTTAAATTCAGTCATTGGTCTAGAGGCAAACTTGATGGAGCAAGACATTTTATATACAATACTTTTTTTCACATTGGCATTATTCCATTTATATAATGTGCAGGCTATTGTGATTGACTAGGAATGTTCATGGGTGGAATTTTCTGTGAATTTGATGTGGTTATCGTCCATGTGGTCGGTTATTTCAGTTCTCATCATAGTACTGCATCATTTTTCCTACTGGATTTTCACGGGCCTGTGTAATGTTAAAATCTGTTGAATAAATCTATTACAATGATTAAATGTTGAAAGGTTTTCAGTCTTATTTTTTTTTTTTTTAGCACCCAACTGGTTACCTTGACACAGTCCTGATCTAAGCCTGCTCTTACTCAAGCACCCAACTAATGACCTTAATACTATTCTTGGTCTTGACTTAATCTTTTTCCACTTTAGCACCTGACTGATTTTTTTTTTTTTTTTTTTTTCAACAAGTCGGCCGTCTCCCACCGAGGCAGGGTGACCCAAAAAAGAAAGAAAATCCCCAAAAAGAAAATACTTTCATCATCATTCAACACTTTCACCACACTCGCACATTATCACTGTTTTTGCAGAGGTGCTCAGAATACAACAGTCTAGAAGCATAAACATATAAAGATACACAACATATCCCTCCAAACTGCCAATATCCCAAACCCCTCCTTTAAAGTGCAGGCATTGTACTTCCCATTTCCAGGACTCAAGTCCGACTATATGAAAATAACCGGTTTCCCTGAATCCCTTCACTAAATATTACCCTGCTCACACTCCAACAGATCGTCAGGTCCCAAGTACCATTCGTCTCCATTCACTCCTATCTAACACGCTCACGCACGCTTGCTGGAAGTCCAAGCCCCTTACCCACAAAACCTCCTTTACCCCTCTCTCCAACCCTTTCGAGGACGACCCCTACCCCGCCTTCCTTCCCCTATAGATTTATATGCTTTCCATGTCATTCTACTGTGATCCATTCTCTCTAAATGACCAAACCACCTCAACAACCCCTCTTCTGCCCTCTGACTAATACTTTTATTAACTCCACACCTTCTCCTAATTTCCACACTCCGAATTTTCTGCATAATATTTACACCACACATTGCCCTTAAACAGGACATCTCCGCTGCCTCCAACCGTCTCCTCGCTGCTGCATTTACCACCCAAGCTTCACACCCATATAAGAGTGTTGGTACTACTATACTTTCATACATTCCCTTCTTTGCCTCCATAGATAACGTTTTTTGACTCCACATATACCTCAACGCACCACTCACCTTTTTTCCCTCATCAATTCTATGATTAACCTCATCCTTCATAAATCCATCCGCCGACACGTCAACTCCCAAGTATCTGAAAACATTCACTTCTTCCATACTCCTCCTCCCCAATTTGATATCCAATTTTTCTTTATCTAAATCATTTGACACCCTCATCACCTTACTCTTTTCTATGTTCACTTTCAACTTTCTACCTTTACACACATTCCCAAACTCATCCACTAACCTTTGCAATTTTTCTTTAGAATCTCCCATAAGCACAGTATCATCAGCAAAAAGTAACTGTGTCATTTCCCATTTTGAATTTGATTCCCCATAATTTAATCCCACCCCTCTCCCAAACACCCTAGCATTTACTTCCTTTACAACCCCATCTATAAATATATTAAACAACCATGGTGACATTACACATCCCTGTCTAAGACCTACTTTTACCGGGAAGTAGTCTCCCTCTCTTCTACACACCCTAACCTGAGCCTCACTATCCTCATAAAAACTCTTTACAGCATTTAATAACTTACCACCTATTCCATATACTTGCAACATCTGCCACATTGCTCCTCTATCCACTCTATCATATGCCTTTTCTAAATCCATAAATGCAATAAAAACTTCCCTATCTTTATCTAAATACTGTTCACATATATGCTTCAATGTAAACACCTGATCTACACATCCCCTACCCACTCTAAAACCTCCTTGCCATCCGCAATCCTACATTCTGTCTTACCTCTAATTCTTTCAATTATAACCCTACCGTACAACTTTTCCTGTATACTCAGTAAGCTTATTCCTCTATAATTTTTACAGTCTCTTTTGTCCCCTTTCCCTTTATATAAAGGGACTATACATGCTCTGCCAATCCCTAGGTACCTTCCCCTCTTTCATACATTTATTAAACAAAAGTACCAACCACTCCAACACTATATCCCCCCCTGCTTTTAACATTTCTGTCATGATCCCATCAGTTCCAGCTGCTTTAACCCCTCCTTCATTTTACGTAATGCCTCACGTACCTCCCCCACACTTACATTCTGCTCTTCTTCACTCCTAAAGATGGTATACCTCCCTGACCAGTGCATGAAATTACTGCCTCTGTTTCTTCCTTAACATTTAAAGTTCCTCAAAATATTCTCGCCATCTACCCAATACCTCCATCTCCCCATCTACTAACTCCCCTACTCTGTTTTTAACTGACAAATCCATATTTTCCCTAGGCTTTCTTAACTTGTTTAACTCACTCCAAAATTTTTTCTTATTTTCATTAAATTTCTTGACAGTGCTCTCCCACTCTATCATCTGCTCTCCTTTGCACTCTCTCACCACTCTCTTTACCTTTCTTTTACTCTCCATATACTCTGCTCTTCTTTAACACTTCTGCTTTGTAAAAACCTCTCATAAGCTACCTTTTTCTCTTTTATCACACCCTTTACTTCATCATTCACCAATCACTCCTCTTTCCTCCTGCCCCCACCCTCCTATAACCACAAACTTCTGCCCCACATTCTAATACTGCATTTTTAAAACTATTCCAACCCTCTTCAACCCCCCCACTACTCATCTTTGCACTAGCCCACCTTTCTGCCAATAGTCGCTTATATCTCACCCGAACTTCCTCCTCCCTTAGTTTATACACTTTCACTTCCCTCTACTTGTTGTTGCCACCTTCCTCTTTTCCCATCTACCTCTTACTCTAACTTTTGCTACAACTAAATAATGATCCGATATATCATTGCCCCTCTATAAACATGTACATCCTGGAGCCTACCCATCAACCTTTTTTCCACCAATACATAATCTAATAAACTACTTTCATTACGTGCTACATCATACCTTGTATATTTATTTATCCTCTTTTTCATAAAATATGTATTACTTATTACCAAATTTCTTTCTACACATAGCTCAATTAAAGGCTCCCATTTACATTTACCCCTGGCACCCCAAATTTACCTACTACTCCCTCCATAACTTTTTACCCACTTTAGCATTAAAATCCCCAACCACCATTACTCTCACACTTGATTCAAAACTCCCCACGTATTCACTCAACATTTCCCAAAATCTCTCTCTCTCCTCTACACTCTCTCTTCTCCAGGTGCATACACGCTTATTATAAACCCACTTTCACATCCAATCTTTATTTTACTCCACATAATCCTTGAATTAATACATTTATAGTCCCTCTTTTCCTGCCATAGCTTATCCTTCAACATTATTGCTACTCCTTCTTTAGCTCTAACTCTATTTGAAACCCTGACCTAATCCCATTTATTCCTCTCCACTGAAACTCTCCCACCCCCTTCAGCTTTGTTTCACTTAAAGCCAGGACATCCAGCTTCTTCTCATTCATAACATCCACAATCATCTCTTTCTTATCATCTGCACAACATCCACGCACATTCAGACTTCCCACTTTGACAATTTTCTTCTTTTTATTCTTTTTAGTAATCTTTACAGGAAAAGGGGTTACTAGCCCATTGTTCCCGGCATTTTAGTTGACTTTTACAACACGCATGGCTTACGGAGGAAAGATTCTTATTCCACTTCCCCAGGATATAAAAGGAAAATTAATAAGACCAAGAACTATTAAGATAAAATCAAAGAAAACTCAGATGAGTGTGTATAAATAAATGTGTACATGTATGTGTAGTGTGACCTAAGTGTAAGTAGAAGTAGCAAGACATGCCTGTAATCTTGCATATTTATGAGACAGACAAAAGACATCAGCAATCCTACCATCATGTAAAACAATCACAGGCTTCGTTTTACACTCACTTGGCAGGACGGTAGTACCTCCCTGATTATCTCTACTTATTTTACCTTGGTCATGACTCAGATCTTCTCCTACTGGCTGTGGGTGTACCTGATCTCAATCATTGGTTTCAATGTCCATCTCCATACATATCAGTAAACCTTATTTCATTCATCCACTGCTGTATTCACTTCCATATCACATTTTTTCTATCATTTCCCAAACCTAGCTCTCTTAATCACTATTTTTTATATTGAATTAATATACCATACATCATTGTATGGTGCTCCACTCTTCCCATATACTTTGGCAAAAGTGACTTTCTATTGTTTCATTGCCCAAATTACAATTCACTTTTTAAGCTCTCACCATATCATTGCTTGAAATATAAATCTTCGTTATTCACGTTCTTGTAATCCCTTCTCTGTTGATTATTATATGTATTTTACATAATGCATTTAACTGAACTACAAAACTTGTGTTGGAGGCTACAGTTGCAATTAAAGGCTACAAAGTTCATGCTTGTGTCTATGAACATGATTCTATTTTACTGTACTGAAGAGCTACACACATGCTTTCATGAAGATCCAGATTAAATCATCTCTCATGTTCCTGAGGATGCAAATTCATCAACAAGACCAGTTCACTTGCACTGTATAGGAAATATGAAATATTTGTGAAGGGGGAGGGGCATCATTTATTGTTGCATGTATATATAACATAATCATATACAAATATAACTGATTTACAATCAGAATTAGATTGAGATAATTTATCAGTGGTGGTATGTATGAGAATGAATGCTGCAAAACAGACCAGAGTGTTTAAAATGAACTTGACATTAAGGCTACAGGGCAGAAATGAGGAATAGTTTAGTAAAATGAAATTGTTCTTTAGATGTATAGATGGTGTTGAGACAAAAACCCTTCATGTACTAACTTGCATGGAGGGATGATGTGCTAATAATCTTCTATAAGTAAGTAATCCATATACTCATATGTTATATTTTGGTGGGTTCATGTGTAGTGTTCTCCTTGAACTCCTTAGGGTGTCTGTAACTTATGAGTTTTGCCATATTTTCAAGACAAATGATCACCCAAGGAACTGAAATATTGTTTTGCTATAATTTTACATTGAAATTCTAAACCTAAATTAATAGTAGAAATTATGCAACATTTTCAGGTATTTATCCTCCTGTAAAATTTGTTGTATAATCATTAAGTAGAGCAGTATGGAGATTGTAAGCATTGCTTTATAATTGACTATAGGTGTTTCAACACAACACCCTAGTATATTTTATGGGAAGTTTTACCAGTTTATTTGCAGCCATTTGGATATTTAATTTTCTGTAATATTCTTGAATGTGTCGTGGTTGAAACCCATTTGTGTTAGTGTCATCAGTTCCTGGTTGTACAATGTGTTTTTAGGGTTCATACACCTATACAGTTGAGAAATAATTTAGAAGGCATTATTCCTATGTGAACATTATAAGGAGGTTCAGATAACATTATGTAGGCACTTCAGGCAAAATTTGCTTTAGGAGAGGCTTTGGAGGTTATTGTATATTACATTATAAATGTACGTGACAAACCTTGTTAGAAGGAGGTACCTGCGTTTAGTCTTGTAAATATTTTCCAACTCCTGGTTTGATTTAAAATTTTGTTGTTTATCATTAGTTTTGTTGGAGTTTTAATTTTCCTAGGTTGCATAGATCTAAGCTACCACTGGTTATGCTTGAAGGTTTATAATTTGCAATGGGTTAAACTGACAAAAGTTGCAACAATATGCTTCAATTGATGGCCAACCAGTTGGTTACTAATATATATGCTTTTATACTTAGGTAATCATTAATATAGTTGTTATATGCATTTTTGCAACTTTGTGGTATTTGGCTGAATGCATAGGAAGATCTTGGCACAAGCATGCACACTGTAAGATCATAGTACATATCATATTTCAGCAATGTCATAACTCACCTTATCTAATTCTGCAAATATTTTAATGCAGATAAAACGGTGAGCTTCTGGCTTTAAAGATAAATGTAAATACCATTGGTTAAAAAATGTCTAACTTGTTGCTGATAACAGAGAAATGTCAAGTTGAAATTTTTGTCTATGTAGGACTACTTGTTACAATTTTCACCACCATGTTTACTAGCCAATATCGAAAATATTGGTGGAAATCTTAAAGCCTCTTGCTAGAATAAATGTCAGGTTAAATGTTATATAGCCTCAGTGTACATACTATCTTTACTAGCCACTTGCTTCACTTTTACTTTTTGTTCATCCTAAATATTTTCTGGTAGTTTGGCCTACTATGAACATAGAGGGATAGCTTGTCTCTCCAAGTCATCCAGGGGTTGGAGTTTTCATGGTGATGGTGCTATACAGTTATACTTTTACCTCCATTCTTTTTCATTTTCTGTAGCACCTGATGCTTGTGAAGGAGAGAACATCAGCATAGTTTTTCTTTGTGGCCCATTTTATGCATTATTTAATTTGATTAAAATATTTTTATCAGATTGAATAATAGTTGTAACTGTTGTCAAACCCGTGTTTGTTTGCAGTGCAAGTTAAGTTTGTTTGCCTTTGATACAGAGGGGCTTATATTTTATTTCTTATAGAGTTCAGTAATGGTTATAGTAAGTAGCAGCTGAAGTTTGTATATTAATAAATATTAGTAAATTTAAAGATTCTGAACTTGATGCTATTTCTAACTTCTTAAATGTGAATCTTTGTTCATATATCACAATAATAGTGTCCTAAGTAGTTTGGTGTGTGTTGATGTACTGTATGCATATTTTATGGTATAATGTAATGGATCTGATGTAATTTTAAGTCATATTTTTTAACACCCTTAACTTTACACAACACATGAAGTCAGTAAGTTGTACAAATAAATGTGGCTTAGTTAGACTTTTTATGGCTTAGCGCTTCTTTTTGATTATAATAATAATAATAGACTTTTTATGTTTGAGCACTAAGTAGTTTCAAATTCCTGATCTGACTTCATGCTCTGTTCATACACCCTTGCTTCTTGAAGCTTGGCAAAACAGTAGAGCAATTGTTGCTCTGAACATTGTGACTAATGGTTCTTGCACCAGTGGATTTGAACCTTGATTTACTCGAACTGTTTCATTACATGGCTCTCAATGATATGCATCACTTTTCATTGATCAGTTTATGACACACATGTATATTGTGAATTAAACCAGAGAGCTCTTGTAGCTAGTTAATGAAGATTATCTTCAATAAACTGAGTTTATAATAAACATTCAGGGCATATGTTTACCATATATTTAAAATTAAATTAAACTTAAGCAGAATATGTTAATTATAGAAACTGTTTATGAACATACTTTGTTTGCCTTAGACTGACTCAGAAAACTTCCATCATCAACACCAGTGTCTGTGGTAAGATCATGTGTGCATGTTCTGTTTTTACTGTGAACTCCATCTGTGTTAATAGCAATGCTGATTTCAAGTCATTGCTCCATCTTGCAGAGCCATATTGTAGAGAAGAATTACATTTGTTGAAGTGCAATTTGTAGCAACCATCATTATGTAATAAAATATACCACCATTAACTTTTTTAAAACATTCTTACAAGATTGCTTGTATTGGTTTGTTTATCAATAAAGAATACCTTTCCTGATGAATGCTTTATTGAATTCCTCCTGCATAATCTTCATTTCCCATATTAGCATAACCTGGGCCCTTTTTTTTTTTAAATATTTAAATTTATCAAGAAGTTAATTACATTTGTTGTCATAAGCTATACAGTATTTAAATAGATATATGAACAGAAATATGAACTCAGTATGCATAGACATACAATTCAAAGGAAATTAAAGTTATTAATGCTCAGTTAGGATTGATGCTTGTTGAGAACTTCGTGCTTAAATTTTACTGCATTAAAATCTTGACAGAAAATGTACAAAAACTGAGCTCTTTTCAGAAGCTTTTTTTTTTTATTGTGATATCACTAATATACTCTCGCATACAGTACAGTATTTACATTGACTTAAAAGAAAAATGTATTTTTAACATACTGTACTTCTATAACTCTGCTGTTGCATTCGATAAATCCATATTCCAGAAAACATATAAAAAAAAAAAAGATACAGCAACCATTTTGATTATTTATAGGATTTGACTAGATTATATTAATATATAATATATTGGCCCAGATATTTAGATTTTGATGCTCAACCGTTGTCCAAAATGCTTCAGTTATAGTGCAGGCATCTTGCCAAGCACACGATGATAACCTTCATAATTATCGTGTATTACCATAACACAACAGGTTCCTATTGCAAATTTTACTGTTATTACGTTATCCAGTAATTATCAGTTGAAGTGAAAAGCTTTGTCACTAGGTAATATGGAGCTAAATACCAGTAACTCTGTACTATGTACAAGTTTGTGAGCTGAAATGAGTTAAAAAAGGAGCTGAGATGCCAAGCCAATGTAGAGTCCTTTCACAGTTCATAGAATGACTGCACTGGAAATGCATATAAACACTTAGTGAATTGCATATTTCCAAGTTATTTTGCATGAACTAGTTTCACTAGCTGCAACAAAAAACATTTATGAACTGTTAAGTGGCTTTTCTGAGGATAACCAGCAGAAAGCTTAAAGGCAGTATCAATAACTTGCCGAGCACAGCCTAGAAATACATTTTTTTATTTTTTAAATATTTTTTTATTTTAGAATTAATATTGTGTAGTGAAGGCCCTTCCACTTTTTTTGGTCTTTGTAATTGATATTTTGCACTGCTAGTAAGTTTCAAATAGCATTTGCTGGAAATCTCTCAATATTTATAAAGTAAATGTCCTTTATCTGCCCCACCTATTCAATAGCAAATATTTTACTGCAAGTGCATAAATGACTTAAATCTATATCCTTGCATTAAAGTTAATATTTAAGACATCCATTATTCATATCCCTCTTTCGTGTCAGTGCAGCGTTAGACTTAATATCTTTTACTGGTTAAGCAACTTGCCAATATAGTTTGCAATGGAGTGACACTTCTAACATTTTTAAGAAAAGTTTGTAGTATGTTGAAGAGGACAAAACTAACATTAGATATACATTACCACCATTAACAAGTGCTCATTTACAGTGCCTTCGAGTTAATACCTTCACGTGCTATCAACGCTAAGTTTTTGCATAGTGTCATTTAACACTTGCT